TGTCTAATGTATCTGTAGCCGGGCATTTTTTGCCTTTCTGAGCAGACAACAGTGGCGTCATCTGCAGACATTTGGAAAATAGCACAGTATTCTCGAACATGCTGTCAAACAGGAGTTGACCCCGGGATGGCCTCTCGGCCAGGGCCTTCTCTGCAGCTTTCCCGCACTGGTGCTTACCGGGAGATCTCGGCACTGCGGTCGTACTCAATTCAACATGTGGGTTCAGTGAAGCAACAGAAACCCATGAAGGCCACGAGGCATCGCCCAGGCCCCACCCGTGCCAGACGCCAGCACAGGACAGGGAGGCCCCTGCCGACACTGGCCCGATGCCCTGAGCGCGGCCGGCCGAAACCCTGGCCCCCGTCCTGATGTGTTATTAGACTTTATTTCCTGAAGTGTGTGGGCTGCTGTTAGGGTCTTTGACCCCCCTCGCCTGTGAGATGCCCCCCGAGGGCCGGGGGGGCTGCACTTTGCAGTCTCTGCAGGGTGAGGGCACCATCTCCTGGGAGGACGGGCGCTGGCTCGGCCTGAGGTCTCCAGGTGCGCAGCTCAGCGGGGCTGCCGCCTCACCACGCCTCTTTTTGACATCTAGCTAGCGTTAGTGCCGCGGGACAACCGCTTCGGGGTTCCGTAAGGACCACTCACGCGGGGCGGGGCGCAGGCGGGGGGCTCAGTGTGGCACTGACGTGACAGCCATGCCGGCACAGAGGGGCCAGCTGCCTCTCCAGCAGCGAAGCGCCTCTGCGAGCGACTGGGCAGGGGCCATCCAGGGGCGGGCCTGGGTGCAGCGCAGGCCAGTGGGCAGCAGGAAGATGACCCTCCATGCCCTGAGCAGGTGCTCAGTCCCAGCAAGACGGCCCTGCGTGCCAGGAGCTGTTGGGGGGCGTGGGGCAGAATGGAGAGCGTCGCTGCAATCAAGCTGGGGTGCATCTCCCTGCGCAATGCTGCCACCGAGTCGGGCAAGCAGGCGGCCCAGCGGTCATGGGGAGGGGCCTGAGCTGTGCCTGGCTGGGTCCCCAGCACCTAGATGCTCCCAGGCCACCACTGGCCAGCCTTTAGGCCACTTGTTACAATTCACCCCGGGATGCTGCCATTTGCCACCGGCCAGCTCGGGGTCTCACCTCCTCGCCTACACTCAGACTCCCTCCCCGGTGTTACACTTGGTACTTGGTCATGTTTATTTCATTCAGCAAACTTGTGCTAAGTATCTCTGGGTGTCAACAGACTAAAAGGCACGCTACTCTTCCCTCGGGGAGGGGTGGGCGCCAGACTGGCCTGTCAGCTGCAGAGTCCAGGTCTGCGGCCGGAAACCTGTCCTTCCAAAGGCCCTCTGCGGACCGTGGGTACCCTAAGGGACACAGACAGGAAGATGCTGACACCGTGGGCCACAGGCACAGAGGGGCAGGAGCCGCCCGGCAGGCGTCCCAGAGGGGACCTCCGCAGCAGGGCTTGAAGGCCTGGCACAGACTGCCAGGGGAAGGGCAGCTGGGTGGAAGGAGCCTGGGTGGGTGCGCGGGCATGTGGCAAAGGGCGCAGCGCGCTGGACGGGGCTGGGCGTTTCTGTGGATGGCAAGAAGCAGGGAAGAAGGAACAAGGGCAGAGATCTGGCCCCGCCGGCCGGTGCCTCCCGACGCCAGTCACCTCCCCACAACGGCCTCCATTCTCTAGGTGCACACCAGACCCTCCCCGCCTGACAGTCTCTCTTCTCCAGAGCTCACCCTTCCAACCCCAGTGGGTGCTAGCACTCCTGTAAGGCCGCGCTGACCCTCGGCCAGGACTGCCCCTCCCCTGCGCGCGCTCGGGTCCTGCTTATCTCCGGCCTCTGCCTTTGGGGCGCAGTCAGTGATGCTTCACCTCCTCTGTCAGGGCTGAGCTCCTTAGGGCAAGGGGGCTGCGAGGGCCTCGGGAGGGCTCAGGGTACTGGCTGAGCGGGCTGAAAGAATCCTTACAATACTGCGACTGCGCGGGGAACAGGTATCGTCCCGATCGTGCTTCTGTCGCCAGCCACGCTGGCTAACACTAACACGCTGGCTAGTGTTCAAGTTAGGGACAAAGTGCCAATTCTTGATTCTTTCCTAATCTGCCACACCAAAGCCGAAGAGCTGTGGGAGGCGCTGGGGTGCAGCCACACCTGAGAGGCCCTGGGCAAAGTCCCTGACCTCTGAGCTGTGCCTCTTCTATAAATGCTGGTACAAACGTGTTGTATGGCCGCTGACGGCTCCATGACCCAGCGCGGTGCAGGGCGTGGAGCAGAGGCTCGGCACCAAGCAGGCACTGTCACCCCAACTCCAGGCTTGCTGGGCACGGCCCAGGCCGGGGGGCATTTGACCCTTTAGCAGAATCTGAGCCAGGAAGCTCGTCTATGCCCAAGGACGCCAAAGCCTAGCAAGGTGCTGCCCGGGGGCCGAATCCTACTCATCTTTTATTGAGACAGCGCCCCAGTCTTGGAGACCACTGGGCACAAGCAGCAGTCTCCAAGCAGTCACACCAGCCCCAACAGGGAAGCCAGCTGATTGCATCCTCTGGCGCCTTAGTGAAAGAAGTATCCTATGGCAACCTGTGCTCTGCAGTGTGGCTACCCCAGCACTGAAGGGGTGCGGCTTCATAGTGACTCAAGGACCTGGGGGTTAAGGGGCTTGCCTGACTGCTGGGAAAGCATGTTCTAGCTCCAACCTCTCTAGCAGCCTAGAGCCGGGTCAGCCAGGAACAGAGCCACTGGGAACGGGTGCTTGTGGTGCAGGGCGTGCCTCGCGCTCCTCACTGCGTGTGGGGCACCCGGCTGGCCCCCGGAACTGCACTGCCACTCAGGCGCTCGGTCCGACCTCAAGTTACTAGTAATGTGCTTACCGGTGTCCCAAGTCTGGCCCGTGACCCTACTGAGCCTTCCACCTGAAAGGCCTCTATGTCCGTGCGTGTGACCCACTCGACCTGTTCCCGGGTCACCACGGGGGACCACTCGCTAAAGCCCTCGGGGCTGCCTCACGCCCGTGACGGTGAGAGCAGTTACACCTCCTGCCCCTACACGGTGCCTGGACAGTCAGTGCCCGGTAGTGCACGAAGAACAGACAGTGGCCGGCAAGGAGGGGCGGCGGCCCG